AAACTAACGAGAAAATAAACAAAGGGAACTGCATCAAAATAAAAAGCTTCTGCACAGCAAAAGCAACCATCAACAAAACAACAAGAAAGCCCACTGCATGGGAGAACATACTTGCCAATGTTATCACCGATAAGGTTTAATCTCCAACATTTACAGGGAACTCATACTACTTAACAAAAGGAAGATAAACAATCCAATAAAAAATGGGCAAAGGACCTAAAAAATAGACACTTTTCAAAGAGGACATACAGAAGGCCAAGAGATATGAAAACATGTTCAAAGTCACTAATCATCCAAGAGATGTAAATCAAAAAACAACAATGCGGTGCCATCTCACGCCTGTCAGAATGGCTATCATCAACAAGTCAACAAACGACAAGTGCTGGTGAGGATGCGGAGAAAAAGGAACCCTCCTGCACTGCAGGTGGGAATGCACACTGGTGCAGCCACTGTGGAGAACAGTATGGAGTTTCCTCAAAAAACTAAAAATGGACAGAGAAACCAAGATGGCAGCATAGGTAAACACCAGAAATTGCTGCCTCGCACAACCACTTCAAAAATACAACTAAAAAACAAAACGGACATCATCCAGAACCACAGGAAGGCTGGCTGAGTGGAAATTCTACAACTAGAAGGAAAGAGAAAAGCACACTGAGACTCAGAGGAGGTGCGGAAGTAAAGCGCAGAGGTACGGAGGTGCACGCCGAAAGGGCTGGCAACTGAGGATGCGCTGTCTTTTTCAATCGGGAGGGAGTCTCAAGCTCCTGACTGCTCTGAACTCCAGTTCTGGGCAAGTCTCTGGGGATCCAGACTCATACGGGGAGAAACTGGACTGTCTGGCATCGGTCGGAACTCGAGGGCGGCTTTCTCTCCAAGGTGCTTGCAGTGAGTACCAGGACACTGAGACGTGGGACCTCTTAGGGTAGGACTGAGGATCAGCCATAGCTGTTTGCTCCGCCATGTCGATTCACTGAGACCCCGCCCCACCCAAGCTGTGCACAGAGGCTTTTGCATATGAAAGGCCTGGCCCTTTCCAATCTGAAAATTACCTAACAAACTGCAGCTGGGTCAGAGACCCAGAACTTCCAAAAGAAGGCCCAAGGCCCCACAGCAGCTTGCATTGCTTCACAACTGGACCTCATCTGGGCACCTCCAAACCGCAAACAAAGAAGAGGAATCTGCAAATCTCTCCACAGCTCCTGCTGGATAGCCTCAGGCAGAGGCTAAATTAGCACCTCCTTAGAGATCCAAGAGCCAGTGTACCCAGTGATCAGAGTGGGACCATCCAGATTACAACTCCTCAGATCCATAAAGGACACACTCAGGGGCAGACTCAGGGAGCACCAAAACCCCACTGAAGCAAGTCTTGCCCCATAAGGGTGTCTCCAGCACAGAAGTTCTCACACTGTAGATACAGCTGATTCTCACAGCCAATTGGCCTGGAGGTCAATTCCTCCCAGTGATACCTACACCAATAAAGGCTTAACTACAACAAGACTGTGCACAAAGCCCACAAAGGGGTACACCAAGAGGGTCCACCTAAGGTAATTGGGGAGGCTGAGCCACTGGGCCCTGTAGGACACCTAGCACAGAAAGCCACTCTATCAACACAAAGAAGCATAAAAAATGCGGAGACAAAGAAACAGGTCACAGATGACAGAAATGGAGGAAAGCAAACTACGGATATAGAGTTCAAAACCACACTTTTAAGGTTTTTCAAGAACTTTCTAGAAACTGCCGATAAATTTAGTAAGACCCTCAATAAATCTAGTGAGACTGCCGATAAATTTAGTGAGACCCTCAAAAAATCTAGTGAGACCCTCAAGGTTATGAAAAGGACCAACTAGAAATTAAGCATACACTGACTGAAATAAAGAATATTATACAGAGTTCTAACAGCAGACTAGAGGATCACAAGAATCAAGTCAAAGATTTGAAATACAAAAAAGCAAAAAACACCCAACCAGAAAAACAAAAAGAAAAAAGAATCCAAAAATATGAAGATAGTGTAAGGAGCCTCTGGGACAACTTCAAGCATACCAACATCTGAATTATAGGGGTGCCAGAAGAAGAGAGAGAGCAAGATATTGAAAACCTATTTGAAGAAATAATGACAGAAAACTCCCACCTGGTGAAAGAAATAGACTTACAAGTCCAGGAAGCACAGAGAACCCCAAACAAAAGGAATCCAAAGAGGACCACACCAAGACACATCATAATTAAAATGCCAAGAGCAAAAGACAAAGAGAGAATCTTAAAAGCAGCAAGAGAAAGACAGTCAGTTACCTACAAGGGAGTACCCACACGACTGTCAGCTGATTTCTCAACAGAAACTATGCAGGCCTGAAGGGAGTGGCAAGAAATATTCAAAGTGATGAATGCCAAGAACCTACAACCAAGATTACTTTATCCAGCAAAGCTATCATTCAGAATAGAAGGTCAGATAAAGAGCTTCACAGATAAGGAAAAGCTAAAGGAGTTCATCACCACCAAACCAGTATTATATGAAATGCTGAAAGGTATCCTTTAAGAAGAGGAAGAAGAAGAAAAAGGGAAAGATACAAATTATGAACAACAAATACACATCTATCAACAAGTGAATCTAAAAATCAAGTGAATAAATAATCTGATGAACAGAATAAACTGGTGAATATAATAGAATCAGGGGCATAGAAAGGGAGTGGACTGACTATTCTTGGTGGGGGGGTGGTAAAGGGGTGTGGGGGGTTCGGGAAGAGACTGAACAAAAATTGTACACCTATGGATGAGGACAGTGGGGGGGTAAGGGCAGAGGGTGGGGGGGTAACTGGGTGGAGGGGAGCTATGGGGGGAAAAAAGAGGAACAACTGTAATAATCTAAACAATAAAGATTTAATTAAAAAAAAAAAACCCCTCAAAATGGAACTCCCAATTGACCCAGTGATCCCACTTCTAGGACTATATCCCAAGCAACCAGAAACACCAATCAGAAAGGATATATGCACCCCTATGTTCATAGCAACACAATTTACCATAGCTAAGATTTAGAAACAGCCTAAGTGCCTATCAGCAGATGAACGGATTAGAAAACTGTGGTACATCTACACAATGGAATACTATGCTGCAGTAAAAAAGATGGAACTCTTACACTTTGCAGCAGCATGGATGGACATGGAGAGCATTATACTAAGTGAAATAAGCCAGTCGGAGAAAGAGAAATATCTCATGATCTACCTCATTTGTGGAATATAATGAACAACATAAAATAATAAATATAGAGCTGGGGGTGGGGGGGAAATTCTAGAATACAATAGAAGCAATCCTGTTATTTGCAGATTTTTAATATTTCCTACAACTTTGTGACATCATACTATGTTAGTACAGTTTTGGTAATATTATTATACTTAAAATCCTTTCATTCTTAAAATATTAATGTTCATTGCATGTAATATTATTATATGTAAGATAATTTTTCTTGAATAATGGGTGTTTATTGCATGTAACATTATCGTATTTGAAATCGTTTTTCTTGCGAGAGAAAAAAAGATTCCTCCCTTTGGAACTTTCAGGTCCCACGTGGACAAGCCAATTGGCACAGTGACAATGACAAAGAACAGAAGGAAGGCTACCAGGTAACGACAACCAGCATGATGCTGAAGAATTGAGTCTTGATCGTGGCTCCCGCGCCCCCTCCGTCTCCGTGTCGACGCCTCGTTTCCCTTTCAGTAATGAGGCCCCTGTGAAGAAGATAGGGCGAGCAGGCGATGGCCTTTCACGCCTATGAGCACCAACCACTTCTAGGCATGTAAGAGTCTCAGGTGTGGGAGCCTCTTCTTCAATGTGGAAAGCAGCCTTATAAATATTCAAACGATGCTAAGCTGGGAGGGATGCCTAATGTGAAGATTAAAAACAAACAACTTGACCTGGCCAGTGCTTCTCAGCAGCTAGAGGATCTTGGGTTCGATTCCCAGTCACGGACACGTGCCTCAGTTTCAGGTTTGATCCTGGTGGAGGCTGATGCAGGAGGCAACCAATCGATGTGTCTCTTTCATGTGGATGTTTCTTTCTCTCTCTCCCTTTCCACTCTTAAAAAATTGATAAAAAATATCTTCGGACAAGTGAGGATTAAAAAACAAAACAACTCAAAATGGTGTTAAGTAAGGATGCATGTCCATTTGCACCTAAGTTCAAGAAATGAACAGCACAACCCTTCCAAGTGACAGATGAGTAATCTCATCATGATTACACAATGAACGTAAAGTGTTAAAAACCACTTTGGTTGGAATTGATGGAGACGATGAAATCATTGTCCCTGCTTTAACGAATCCAGTGGCATGAATTTCAGCCCTGAAATTTAAGCCAATACCACCTTGCGGGAGGTGGGGCGGGTGGCTATTTTGGGACAGGGGGACTTGCAAAAATTCTAGGTGCATGGATGTGGTCCTTTATTTTTTGGCTTATCAGATCCTCTTGTTATTTGGAGTTAATTACAGATTCACATGTAGTTATAAGAAAGAACACAGGGACATCCTTTGCACCCTGGATCCTGCTTCTCCCAGTGGTAACATCTTGCAAAATTATAGCACAATATATAAACTCTAGAGGCCTGGTGCATAAAATTCATGCACGGGAAGGGGGGGGGTGTCCCTCAGCCCAGCCTGCACCCTCTCCAATCTGGGACCCCTCGGGGGAATGTCTGACTGCTGGTTTAGGCCTGATCCCTAAACGGTAGATGGACATCCCTCTCACAATCTGGGTCCTAACCGCTCACCTGCCTGCCTGATTGCCCCTAACCCTTCTGCCTGCCAGCCTGATCATCCCCAACTGCCCTCCCCTGCCTGGACCTGCCTTCTCAGTGGAGACAGACCTGGGGGGTCCCCAGGCCTCACCGCTCAGCCTTGGCTGTGTGCATAGCCATCTTTGATGCCACCTAGGCTATTATTAGTATAGACTGATACAATGACACAACCCACCAGGTTATTCAGATTCCCCCAGTTTACATGCATTCCTGTGTGTGTGTATTCAGTTCTGTGCAATTTAATGTCTGTGAGAATTCACATGGCTACCACAGTCACCGTACACTTGAGACTGATTCTTACAGGCATACTCCCTAAGTGTCAGTTCAAAATGGAAAAAAAGGGGGGGCATTCATGGGGCAGTAAGCACTGCCCAGCCACTGGACAGGTGCCAGGGGAGTCCGCACTCTTATTTCAGTTGCCTGTATGTCACAGAGAACCGCCCTGGGATTCTGACCATAGAATGCAGATCCCTCGCTTGGCCGCTGAAGAAAGAGACCAGAGTTGAAATACCTCATCCTGGCTCTAGTGGCGGAGCCCAGACAAGGCCCGGGGCCCTCGGAGTCTGTCCAGTGCTGTCCCTCTGGTCCTTGCCGCCCACTCCCAGCCTCATCACCTGCTACAAGTCCCCGATGGATGGAGCTGCTGTGAGGAAACAGGTGTTCACCAGCATCCAGCTTCATAACTACAAACAGCAACAAAAAATGGTTTTTTGATTAATGCTCTTTATTTCGGACCTTTATGGAAATTGAAAAGGGGCAGGAAGAGGTGGCACCCCCGTTCAATTCAGAAACATTCAATGACGCCAGCCCAGCAAGCGCTTCCCCTTTGTCGAGGATGCAGCCCCGGCACCCTAAGTCCTGGGGACAGGCTTCCATGAAAGTGAGAGCAGGGTTTGAAGGGAAACTTCTGGGATGCAACTACAGGAAGAGCCAACAAGAAGCCGTTCCTCTTCTGGGCCGGACGCCGCAGGAGGGGGTTTGTGGAGGACGGGCAGGCCCTCCTGGGGACAGGGCCAGCGAGGGGCCCTCGGATGAGGGGGCGCCCTCCCATCTCTCCAGCTGGAACAGTGTGCGCGCGCG